TGCTAACTGAAAGGTCGGTGGTTTGAGCCCACCAGCCACTCCACAGGAGAAAGATGTGGCAGTCTGCTTCTGTGAAGATTACAGCCTTGGAAATTCTATGGGGCAGTTCTTCTCTGCCATATAGGGGCACTATGAGTTGGAATCGACGGCAACAGGTTAACAGGTTATAAGTTATTTGCTTGCTAGAACATAGGGAAAGTCCTCGAATATCTTAACTTGGAGATCCTGAAATAACCCGCTGCCACTGAGTCGATTCCGACTCATAGTGATACTGTAGGGCAGAATAGAACTGCCCCATAGGGTTTCCAAGGAGCGCCTGGCGGATTCGAACTGCCGACCCTTTGGTTAGCGCTGTAGCTCTTAACCACTACACCACCAGGGTTTCCTGGGATAGTACTATTAATAATTTGGAGTCATTTGTGAAAAGCTTGGGATCTCTACCGTCACTGAGTGTTCTAGAAATGCTGGACAGGCGAATTCATCCAAAACCCATTGTCGTTGAGTCATTAGGTAGCTTTATGTCTATTATCTTTGTAAGTATTCTGGTGGGAGAACGTTGGTTCTATAGGAGTCTATAAAGGAGAAAGCTTGTTTTCATAACTTTTTCTGATAGAAGTATTGCCTCTCAGTGCAGGAAAAAAACCAGAAAAGTCCCATGGCAGGGGTAGGGGGTACAAAAATCACCCACTATTTTACTCTCCAAGATATTGACTATGAACGTTTTCGTTAGTGTGTTTCCAAAGATGTATTCATATTGTTTTTACCTAAATGGGATCGTACTGTATATACTGTTCAGTAGCGACTCCGTGTAGTGTAACTCTTTAGGATTTTCTGAGATCAGTAAACAGTCTAGACTACAACGTGATTGGTAAGTGCTGTGTGGCGTTCCATCTTGTTTACTTACCGGCTTGGCCAGTTTCCCAGTTCGGGACATTTTCGTACGTGTATTTCTGATGAGTTTCTCTTCTTTGTTTAAATCCCTGAGAGTGGAATTTCTTTGCCAAACTATATGCACAATTTTCGAGCTTTTGGTATTTA